CCCCAGACAGGCTTTTTCCCTGCCGTTTGGTTGATGGTAACTTTCAACCCAGAACAGGGTCTCTCGTCTGATTGAACCAAACAACCAGGACTCGCGTACGATCGAATCAAGGCAATTATCCGATCAACGGTACACTAAAAGCCTTCCTTCATGTATCAAGTGGCCTATGTAAGACTTCCAGGCCCCTGTTGAACTTTTTCCCTTCGAAACCTTGCGATTCTTTAACTGGAACCCCCCCCCGACTGCACGGCCCAGGAATCACCAACTCCCAGACACCAGGAAGTCTGCCGGCCCAAATTGCTCAATCAAATCCGTCAATCTTAACCTTGACCCTGACTACCACACATCATCCAACTCTTCCTGCGTGCCCGCTCCCTGGCCGTTCCTCTTCCCCTGCTCCGATTCCGCTCGACCTGTCCAATATTAATTCAGATAAAAAAAAAATAAATAAAGAGAAGCGAAACAAATAAAAAGGAATAAAAGAAATAAAAAAAGAAAGGGAAAAAGAGCTGTGGTTACGGAAGAGTGGTAAGTTGAGACTCTTGCCCCGACCTTCGCTTCTCTTGCTTGTGAACACAGCCCATCTGCTCGCACTTCTGCCCCAGCGAAACCATGTTTTCCCTTCCTTCCGATACCTTAGCTCGCCCTCCTTGAGTCTTTTGATTATCCGGCCCTTTCATTTACCTTTTTTTTTTTTTTTTTTTGCCCTTCCTCTAAGGCGCCTCTTCCTCCTCCCATCATCTTCCCGCCCATGTCGCGAGAGATCCCACATTCATCGACATTTTTCAAAGCACTCCACTAAACACACTTCGTTGATCGCTTTGTTTCGAGTCGCCTCCGCCTCCACTCCCATTATTGGAGTTAAACTACTCCGTACTTCCCTGGTCGAGACTCGCTGCCCTGATCATACCTTTTATAACCACACACAGATTTTGCCCATATCAACACCGCAGGGCCACAACCTGACCCCATCCTCTCTGTTTTCAGACAACCGGCCCACCTTGAGCTGCAGTTTGCCACTTTTGTTCCATTTTAATCGTCCTTTTGATTCCATCGGCCTTGCCAAGGGACAATATTCATCATCTCTTTAAGTCCAGGCGCGCGTTTTGACCTCAGATCCTCCAACCCCCTCGAACCATCGAACCACATCCGTCTACCTTCGTCCTCTCCTTCCTCGACGTCGATCGTGCCGCTGCAGCGGAGTCCTCTGGTTTCGTTCTTAAGCTCTCAAGACTCCAAACGACCTACATTGCGTGTTGCGCGAGATTGTCGGATATCTGCAATTCGCGGCCTCCTTGCGAGGATCGCGCTCACCCTGCGAAAACCTTTTCTATTGGACGCGAGGACTCGGCAATTCAACCTTTGATTTGTAGTCAACCGGACTGCGGGAGAAATGAGTAACAGCACGGGCCAGTCGAGGCAAACCGCGCCGCTGTATGAGAACGGACTCCAGCGCAACCCTTCCAACGTTTCCACACCGGCGGCGCCTCACCTCTCTATCTCCACTCCCAATCCTCTCCCATCTGCCATGAACAGAATGCCCTCCGATGTCTTCTCTCCCGTCGCGTCACAGCCCTCCGCGCTATCTTCTACCTTTTCTTACGCTCTCACTCCCATCGGAAAAACGCCTGCTTTTGAGCCACAAAACCCGGGCCTCAGTCTCGCTGCTGATTCCGAAAGGCCACTGTCGGGTATGAATAACGAAAACGTTGCTCCCGGCAGCATCAACTTGCCTGCAGGCCATGCTGCCATGCTAATACGACGACTTCCGAGGAATACCAGTCATGAAGCACTCCGAACCATGCTATTGTTCACGAAAAATTTCATTAATACGACTTTTGTTCCCAACACATATCCTGATGATGGGGATCTCCTGACTGCCGTGGCCTTCTTTGAGACACGATCAGCTGCTGAGGAAGCGCGGGAGATGCTGAATGGGAAACGAAACTCTACGAATGAAGCCAATATGATCGTCGAAGTCATTTTAGACGCTCCATCCGCTACAGCTATGCTGCAAAGACGCAATACCATCGACCAAGTTCCACGTTCGAGCGTTATAAATTCTCTATCGCAGGTTACTCCACCAGGGTTGGCGTCGCAGCCCAATCTTCTATCGAGATTTGATCAAGGTGTAGCGTCAAACGGAACCGTCGGCCATAACGATTTTCAGTCTCCTGATCAAGCCTCCCGGCTTCAGTCTCTTTTCTCCTCGCAGTCGCCTCTCGGGGATGGCTTGAACGGGCGACCTCGCATCACTGGAAAATCCGTCATTGATCAAGAAGTCGACGAGGATACAGGAGAGCTTTTGAAGGACCCGATTGCATACGCACGAAATGGCCATTCCGGCTCCATGGCTATGCCGCGTCGTTCAACCAACCCTCCTATGCCTCTCAGCAATTTTGGCAACCTAAGTTTATCAACCAATTTGACATCCCCATCCTTACAGTCTTTCGGGAGTGGGACCTCTACGCGTCCTACGCCTTCTAGCGCAATGTCACCCAATTTCCCCAATATCGGACCGAATAATGGATACCATCAGACAACATATCATCGCCTTAACTATCCTCCGGTCAATCCGGCCGATCAAAACCCGCCGTGCAATACGTTGTACGTCGGAAATCTACCGCCCGATACTTCTGAAGACGAACTCAAAGCTTTGTTTTCCAGACAACGGGGATATAAGCGTATGATCTTCCGTCAAAAACCCAATGGACCGATATGCTTTGTTGAATTTGATGATATATCCTGGGCGACGAAGAGCTTGAAAGAGCTCTATGGATATGAGTTATCGAACAGTATCAAGGGCGGTATCCGTTTGAGCTTCTCCAAAAATCCGCTTGGGGTTCGGAACAGCCAAGCTGGAAATATGCATTCCACAAACCCAATGACTTCGCACGCGTCGATCAATGCAATCAATGGGCCGGGATTAATCGGCACTCCTCGATTCTCCACTGCCAGCGGGCCACCTCCAGGTCTGAGTGCACCGCCGGGATTACCCATACCCATGGGAATGGCGACGAATGGACTTCCATCTCCCCACCCCGGCCACAACAACGGAACTTCAAGCAACACCTTTGTACCAAATCCTGGTCTTGGGATCGGGATTAACCCCATCGGAAATGGCATGGGTCGACTCAGACAGGCTTCTCTGAACGATACGATCATTGGAAATCCAGCAGCAGGACCTGCTCTCAGCGCCATGAATGGTGCGGGATATCCTGATTATATGATGGGTCGTTAGCCCCCACCATATATCCACTCATGTTTTATCATGATTTGCATGTATAGCGATACTGAAGCGTCATGGCGTAAGGGAACTCTGGACTCTGCACGTTAACTAGATCATGCGAGGCTCACGGCTACGATGCTTCGACTTGTTCAATATCTTTTTTTTTCCATTATACTTTGCTTTCCTTTTTTTTTTTTCTCCCTTTTCACGGACATTTGCAGATCAGGGAGATTTCCTCCGAATTGTTTGGGTGCAACTAAGCATGGGATTCAGGCGGATCGATTCTCGTTACAGATTTAGCAAGAACGTCCATGCATATTCATCGAGCGCGTGTCTTGTTGGTCTTTCAAGAGGCGGCCCCGGGGATGCGATATCTCGGTTCTGGAGAATGGAGCGTCTTCCTTGTTTGCTCTTCTCAAATGTCTCAGTCTATGTCGCATTTTATTTTATTTTTTTATTTTTTTATTTTTTATTAACCCTCTGTCATTATCAGGTTTGCTTGTCCCCAGCTTTGCACATTTTGGTTTCATTTAGCATCCACAGCCTTTGAACATATCCCCTGCTACTCTCTCCCACCTTGGCCCCTGGGTACGGCCAGTCATCTATGGCGTTGCAGCTTAAGGGTGGTTTACGGGGTTTCTATTTTAATTTTGTGTCCTTTTTATTTATTTATTTTCTTTTTCTTTTTGCTGCATACATATATACCTCCTGTCCCCCTCCCTTGAACAAAAAGAGCTTGTGATTCCCCATTTGCAAGAACACCCACCATGATACTGCACATTGGATCATTCTGATTCTAGCATTTTGACTCTCGGACAACGGAAAAAGGCGTGTGGAATACTCGGAAGGAAAGCAAGGATCGTCTGTGGCGGTTATTATTCTATTTCACATCTGAGAGGATGCCATGTATACCCATTTATATGTCGCTGCTGTCGTTACCGTTTATTTGGATTTTACGCTGCCCCTATGCACTAGGAGGAATACCTCCAATTGATGATATGGTTCCGTCTTTGGCCTTTTTACTGCATAATGACTTCCCATTTGGGAGGCCTACAAGTGCTGCTTGTAGGCGCCGGTAACCCCTTTACCCTTTACTTCTTCGATTTGCTCTTAGTTAACCTGTCTGCTTTGTGCCCTGACGACGTCAAGAATTTACCTCCCCTCTGCGTTTAGCTCCTTATCAAGCTTCGATAGCCTCCTTTGATCTCAATGTTCTCTCGCTTAAAAGGTGGATATCGTTGAACCATTCGCATCAGAAGCTCTTCAACGCAAAAACAGAAGACTCAATTTTTTCTGCATCGGACTGCATTTTCTGGGGAAAAAAAGGAAGGGCGCTTCGATGATGCTTTTGACACTAAGATACCTATGGTAATGTTGGGAGGATCTCCAGGGCGTTGGCTTTGCGTTACGCATATCTCTCTTTTTTTTTTTTTTTTTTTTTTTTTTTTCCCTCCTTTTCCAACTTCATTCTCGAGCGCTTGACATTCTTTGTCTCTCATTAAAGCCAGTTCACCTTAAATACAATACTTTTAGTCTCGGCCCTGTGCCTTTCAAGTTTCAACCCTCCGTGATATGATGGCGAAAGCGATATCTTCTCTAGGCCATTTCCAAAGGAAGCTCCCGTCATATTGTTTCGGAAATAGGTATATCCGCACCCGAGAGCCATGGATGTCGCTAACCGTAAGTGGTTGATCACGTGAGTCATCCCGTTGAGCGCAAAAAAAAAAAAACTTCGAGCAATTTGCATCGTCCTCGCAATCCCACACTCACACGCCCACACTCGACCCCCTGCCTGAAGTGAAATCACAATGAATGGAATAGAGCCATTGGATTGTTAATACCAATCAATTGCTTCATATACAGAAATCCCAATTCCTCCCTCCCTTAATTGCCATTTTCCCTATCTCTTCTCCTGCTCTCACACATTCACAATGCCTCCAAGAATAGCCAACCCTCAACGCCTTTCCTCCTCCCTTGCCACTCACATATCCTCATCTAAGTCCTCTCTTCCATCTATTTCACCTGCCTCCACATCTTCGCCATCGGCATCCTCCCTCTCTCCCTTCACATGCACATCATGCTCCCTGCGTTCTTCCTCCCGCCAGTCCCAACGCACATTCAGCTCCACAGCTCCGCCCGGGACAAAACTGCGCCGTGACATGTTTTCATGGCTCAATGGCCCCGGCGCGGCCTTCAAGCACCCACTTCCTGGCAGCCCGAACTACCTTACCGCATATGACCGGCAGGGTAGGCTCCTTCAAGCACTAGATGCGGAAGGCGAAGAAGGCTCGAACGACGGGCAGAAGCCCGAGGGTTCTTCTGCGGAGGCTGGTGATGGCATAGTTCCTCGCGAATCTCGAGAGCCTCTGAAGCCCTTCCCGCTTAACCCACACTTTGTCAGTCAGAGCGTTTTGAGTGAGGAGTTGCGGAATGAGATTTACGAACAGGTCAAGGTTAGAGGGAAGAGTGTGCGGGCAGTGAGTGTTTTGTTTGGTGTGGATATGAGACGAGTTGCGGCAGTGGTGAGATTGGTGGAACTGGAAAAGAAGATGATCAAAGAGGTATGTCTCGACCTTTCTGAGCTTTTTACCCCATTCCTCCCATTTGTGCGGGATCAAAAAGCCGTGTTTTCAATGATGAGCAAAATTCGATTAGTCTTTATGACTCCTTCAATTTCCCAGAAGGAGAATGTTTACCGAAAAAATTACAACTCTCTGACACCATCACTTTATCTAATATTGGATCTATTTTTATATCGAACAAGTTGTTGGACGGTCAGTGGCTAACAACAAGATAGAAAAAACCTACAGCTTTACCATACGCGCGCGCTGTGCTTGATATGGTCCCAACAACACCCTTGGTTAAACCGCCCCACAAGCCAGTAGCCCATGAACCCATCAATGATCTTCCTGTCCACCGTCTTACGGAAGCCCAAATCTTCTACCCGGTTTCAGAATCTCGTCAGTTCACCCGACTAGACGCAGGCAGAGTGTTCTCTGCCGCTCCAGCTCTATCACGATCCGAAGAAGGAAAGCCATTCAACACACCAGAAGCCATTGCCAAAATAACGCAACGCCCTGATAGAATCGAACGGGTGGGCAAAGGCCCCAACGCGGAACAAGTCCTTCAGCCCGCTGATGTCCGTATCCCCCACCCTCATCTTGTAGCCTTCGAACACGATCATATCACATATAGCGGTGAAGCGACCCTGCGCAACCAAAGATTCTTTGAACGCCTTGAGGCTGAAGAAGCTGCTGCGGCCGAGGCCAAGGAGATTAAAAAGAAAAAGGAAGAGTCGTTAACCCACCGTATTCAACCTGCCGAAAGCCGATTTGAGTTCCGCTTCCGCGACGTCGTCGTGAGTCGGGAAAAAATTGGGACTGACGGCCGTGGAGCGGATGCACCAGGTCAGAGATACGGTGTACCGAGCTATGAAAGGAAGAGAGGTATGGTTAAGATTCCGACAAAGGTGGAAGTTTAATGCACATAGAGTGTGCATTCATCCCTTTGTTATGTATATTAGATACCTACTTACCGTTTTTGGTTGGTATTGCATAATGTCCTGTTGCATGTTTGTGAAATGTACTATATTACATATATCCAGCGAGCAGAGCCCAACTATATAAGGATTGTTGAGTTTCTAAATGGAGTAATGTCAACAGCAATGCATATTAAACAAATGTATGGAGTACATAAATATGATTTCTGTGGTCCACGACCCCATATAATTGATCCATGCTCCCTCTGACAGGTTCATACCCAGGGGACTCGGTTTGACAATGAGAGGAGCCTTAGGCATGGCGTCATGAAAGACTGTCGTACACATACACTCACCGGTGGAGTTGCGGTTGACAAGTTCCCCTTTTAAATGTCCTTGGTACCCTCAAGATTTTCCCTTACATCTTCACCTTATGTCGCACACTATACTCCGTACTCCGTGCTAACTTCCAGCAACAGGAGCCTTCGACGACCTCCCCCGTTCATCATCACTGAAGCATTCCTACTCGAGCAAGGGGGGAGAAAGACTCAGAATCAGAGTAACCACCGTTCTTTTATACTTATAGGCCTCTATTCTCACTCCCAAATGCATTATCCAGCTGATAAAAGGTTCAACGAGTACACGTATACACACAGCACCAGACTCAATACTTATACACAAGCGAGCCATATCTCACGTTGAAAACTATGTATGTATTCCTGCTTGTTCAATGAAGGAACTGGCTCTGGGAACTTACGAACCCTAGTTGAGCTCTCCTTCCCAAGATCAAAACTAGAACCAAATGGTGTATTATGAACTTCGCTTTACGTATATCCTACCCAGTATATGTTAGGGGCAAAAGAAAATAAGGATACAGAGACTAAAAAAGGAAAAAAAAAAAAAAAAAAAAAAAAAAGGCAAATGAAAAACAACCTTACTGGTATGTATATGTGTGCATGTGTGTGACGTATGTATAGAAAATAACAGCAAAAGTGGACTTTGCAGGATAAATTGCTTTTTTTGGTTCTTTTTGCCTTTTTTTTTCCCCCTGAGAGAATAGGTACCTTTTTTTGTGAAGAGAATTGAACAAAAAGGACAAGGACAAAAAGCAAGCAGATAGACAAACAATGAGATTTCCCAAGAATGGCTTCATCACCAATCTGATTCAACGCCAGAAAGCAAAATGTAAAGTGGTTATAGTAGTAGAAACCAAAAGGAGAACGAAATAGGTAATTAGATGCATTCAAAAGGCCCTGTTTCCAAGGAAACCACAGAAACAAGGCGTTACTAAAGGATGGTGACATCCCCTTAGACAAATGGAGGGCGAAAAGGGGGGTATGGGCATTTATCGGGCTAATAGCTTCACAGCGCGTGGTTCTTTGCAGGAGTTGAGGCACGACTTCCTCTCTTTCCGGACGACGAGATAACGGATGACAGTGAAGAAGTCATTCCCGACGTAGTCCCAGCTGTAGGAGTTCTCCCAGCCAGCGTCGGTGTGGTTGACGCCCCAGCCGAAGAGCTGCCACCATTCGGCACAATCGTCGATGTGGAGCTAGTGCACGAGTCTTTTCCACTACCTTTGAGGTATACGCAAGTTCCTGTGAGTTTCGACGATGCTGGTTCTGGACTGGGCTCTCTCTGGCCTTGAGACGGCTTTTCATCGTGAGTTGAGTTCACTGTAGAGGTGTGATTCCCTTGCGAAGATTTTGATGTTGTTAAATGCGGTGAAGGGGAGTCAGTCAAGGGTGCGTCGGTTATAGTGGCGGTCGAGGTAGACTGCTGCGATACACCACTTGATGTCGACGAATCGAAACCACGCCATTTTCGCCAGCCTTCAAAGTCGATCAGGGCTTGCATGCAACCCCATTCCGTGACTTTCTTTTCGAGCCATATCATGTTCACGGGCTAGTAGATGCGGAAGTCAGCGGGGATATTCCAAAAAAAGGTCTAACAAAGAAAGGCATTTTGCCGAACGAAAATCATGACGCCATACTTTGGTTAAGAAATCATTGCATCCAGCCGCCAGGGCCTCGTCTCTATCGCTTTGCAAGCTGCTTGCTGTAAGTGCCACGATAATAACAGGGCTTTTGACGGACGACTTTTTATCGAGCACATCTTCTGGTTTCGGTGGGAAAACGTCATTGCCCTTCGTATCGACCATCGCGTGTGGTGACGTCGCAGCAACACCCTTTGAAAACACGCCGATATTGTTCACTCGCTCCAACCTCCGGATTTCGCGAGTGGCCTCTAGACCGTTCATGACGGGCAGTTGGATATCCATTAGAACCAGGTGAAAACCTCCACCGCGCCATTTGTTAACCGCCTCACGGCCGTTCATTGCGGTCTGCCACCTGACTTTGAGGCGCTTCATGAAGGCTTCCAGAAGTTTGAGGTTGATCGTGTTATCTTCGACGATGAGGACATTGATTGGAGGGACGGTGCCGTCTAGAAGGCTCGACGAGGCAGGGCTGGAGTCTACAGTAGCACCGCTGCTCATTTTCTTCATTTTGCGGAGTTTTGTTACTGGGCGAGGAGAGTTGACGCGAGCTGGAGGTGTATGTACTGATTTCGTCTGTGGTTCAGGAGCGGGAGCTGGAGGAGTACTGGTAGTTGGAGGCGAAGGAACGGGAGCAACACCGCCATTTACAGATTGCTCGACGGTGTCTAGATGTATCGGAAGAGGCAAAGTAGACGCGGTTTACGTTAACACTGGACCAGGACCAAAACCGAAGATTTTAAAAAAAAAAAAAAAAAAAAGAAAGAAAACCATAGATCGGAGCATGCTCAGAACGGGGCTCGCCTACCAGTCATGTTGTTCACGGCAGGGGTTGCGCCGATGATTGTGGGAGAAGAGGTATGTTGGCGAGGGAATTTCGGTCGGTGTTGAAGGTTATGCCAGGATCCGCGGCTGCCGGGAGAAGGAACGGGTGGTAGCTGGCCGGTGGTGATAACTGATATCGAATGCTGGTGCGAATTAGGCACGCTCCCGGTGGATATCGAGCTGGAAACGTTGGGCGTTTGTATAGAGTGCATTGGAGGGAAGTACTCATCGGCTTCACCAGGGCGCAGGTCATCCGGATGCACGTACGAAACGTTATGCCGCGGTGAAGGCCTCGGAGTGCGCCGCTGAGGAATCTCAATGATCAATGCTTCTCCGACCGTCTGGCCGCCGGGGTAATAATGGTCCAGGGTGCGTCCAACGGGCTCCTCAGGGCCTAACAGACGGTCTGGATTACTCTGCCGGCTGGACGGCTCTCGTGGCACCAGCTTCAGCATGATATCCGGCGCGTCAAAGGTGCGACCCAGAGAGTTGGCATATTTCCTTAAAATCGCTTCCCGTAGGTCATCCACCAAGTCTTCCTCCGTCACGGAGACCAGCGTCGGGGACGAGCCGGCCCGCTTGACCCATACCTTCCTGCTGATCATATCTGGCTGGATGGACGGGGTTCCGCGAGAGAAATAGTCTCCACCGGCTCCAACAACTCCAGGTTCCAGAAGCGTTTTTATGAGTCGTTGCTGGGACGCAGGGACTAGAGACTGTCGTCGAACGGCGAGTGGAGGACGCGAAGGCGGGTTGGGGGGAGCAGGAGTCGGTTTGGCAGTAGGAACGGAGAGAGGCGATGGCAGGTTCGTATCCTGACCGGACTCGTCGACAGCGTTGAGTGTCCGGGGAGCAGTGGATCGAGAATCCGATCTCCGGACGGACAGGGACCGACCGGACGGAAACACCTCCTTGCAGGCACCGGCCAGATTGGATTCCTCGAGGCGTCGGAGGCAGAGACCTCTCTTGGGAGCGGCTTCGGCGGTCAATGGCGTTGAAGAGAGCGCGTCTTTGGGCTGGGTTGAGAGACGGGCGGCCGGGCAAGCTTGGGTGGTAGTTTGGCCGCATGGGCTGGGATCCGGGAGCTCTTGAGGCGTCGCATGCGAGTCGTTGGCGGTCTGCCTCTGGGGTTTCTCGTCGGGGCCGTTGGCGGCGGTGCTGCCGTCGACGGTCTCCAGGCTGCACCACGAGGTCCTCACCCGAGATGCGGTCGAGTCGGTACGGGCAGCACCATCGGCGGGATGGGCACGAACAGGCTGGTCATCCACGGGCAGCGAGTCGACGCCAGGGGTCGAAGAGGGGGAGAAGGAGATGTTCTTGGCGGAGGAGGAGGTCGACGGTCGTCGCAGCAGCTTCGCGGTCAGTCTCGACAGGCGATGGTGGTTGTTGTTCGTGTTGCTGCTAGCCATGGTTCCGGCAAAGCAAAAATGCTCAAAATAGAATTTCCCTCTGCGAACCAGACACGCACATACATCCACGCACAGGCCAGAAAAAGAAACGAACGAACGAACACAGCAACGGAGGAGCAGCTGCGTGGCCTGGGCCGGGGGGAGGGCGGCTTGCTGGACGCCTCCGTCTGTACCAGCCTGCTCTCCTCCCGGAGCACAAGGAGCAATTGACGGACAGGCGCAGCACAAGCTGGGAGAAAGCAAGGCGGCGGAGAGGCCGGGGGGAGCAGCAGGAGTGGCCAGTTAACTGTAGAATCCCAAAGAAGAGGCCGTGATCGAAGTCGTAGCAGGGTCTCCAGTCATGCGATCCATTCTCGAACGGCTCACGCAGCTGTCAGATGCATGGATTTTTGGGAGGGGAGGGGAGGGACGGTGGCGGAGAGACGAGCAGGACGGGACGCTCACACCAGGGCCCTTCAAAGGGGGAAGACGGTGGCAGATCCAGGAGCAGGCGGATTGAGACTCGTCGCCTCGTGGAATTGGGTGATTTGGTCGGTCGGCGTTGAGCTGGGAGCTAGCCCGGGCGGCTTGGGGCGTGCAGGAGAAAAAGAAAAAAGTCACACGCCGTCGTCCTGTTCCAGCCAGCAGCAAGCAGCAGCAGCAGAATCGCAGACGCGACAAAAGACCAGAGCACGTTCTCTGTCAAGAGGCATTTGTCTCACTCGCTCGCTACAGGCTTTATTAACTAACCAGTTAGGTAACTTATATGTTTCATAAGGGCATTTCACTTCACACCCCATCATCCAAACTCCATGCTCCGTACAAACCAATGAGCAGTCACATCAAGCCGAAACAAAACCAGCAGGCAAAATCCAAGCAGTTCTGCATTCTGTTCCGCCTCTTCCCTCCAGCCATACCTCTCTCTGCCTCGCCGATCATCCCCACACGGCCTGGAACAAGCCATACAAAGGTACATACATAGTAACTAATAGGACATACATTCACTGGAACAGCT